GATAAAGACATGAAAAATGCTTCAAAAAAAATCAATGAATCCAGGCAGTGGTTTTTTGAAAATATTGACAAAATACATAGACTGCTAGTTAGACTAATAAAGAAGAAAAGAGAGAAGAATCAAATAGACACAATAAAAAATGATAAAGGGGATATCACCAGTGACCCAACGGAAATACAAACTAACATCAGAGAATACTATAAACACCTCTATGCAAATAGACTAGAAAATTGAGAAGAAATGGATAAATTCCTGGACACATACACCCTCTCATGACTAAACCAGAAAGAAGTGGAAACCAGGAATTCCACTTCTTCCTGGTTTCATATGGAACCAAAAAAAAAAAAATTGAGGCAGTAATTAATAGCTTACCAACCAAAAAAAAGCTCAGGAACAGATGGAATCACACCAAATTCTACCAGAGGTATAAAGAGGAGCTGGTACCAGTCTTTCTGAAACAATTCCAAACAATGGAAAAATAGGGACTCCTCTTTAACTCATTTTATGAGGCCAGCATTATCCTGACACCAAAACCTGGCAGAAACACAACAAAAAAAAGAAAATTTCAGGCCAATATCCACTATGAACATTGAAGTGAAATCCTCAAGAAAATACTGGCAAACTGAATACAGCAGCACATCAAAAAGCTTATCTACCACAATCAAGTTGGCTTCATCCCTGGGATGCAAGGCTGGTTTAACATACCCAAATAAATAAGCATAATCCATCATGTAAATAGAACCAATGACAAAAACCATGTGAATATCTCAATAGATTCAGAAAAGGCCTTCGATAAAATTAAACATCCCTTCATGCTAAAAACTCTCCATAAACAAGGTATTGATGGAACATATCTCAAAATAATAAGAGCTACTTATGAAAAATCCATAACCAGTATCATACTGAATGAGCAAAAGCAGCAAGCATTCCCTTTGAAAACTGGCACAAGACAAGGATACCCTCTCTCACCACTCCTATTTAACATAATATTTGAAGTTCTGGCCAGGGCAATCAGGCAAGAGAAAGAAATAAGGGGTATTCAAATAGTAAGAGAGGAAGTCAAACTGTCTGCTTGCAGATGACATGATTGTAATATTTAGAAACCCCATTGTCTAAGCCCAAAAACTCCTTAAGCAGATAAGCAACTTCAGCAATGTCTCAGGATATAAAAATCAATGTGGAAAAATCACAAGCATTCCTACATACCAACAATAGACAAGCAGAGAGCCAAATCATGAGTGAACTCCCATTCACAATTGCTACAAAAAGAATAAAATACCTGGGAATACAACTTACAAGGGATGTGAGGGCCCCTTAAAACAGAACTACATGCCACTACTCAAGGAAATAAGAGACAACACAAACAAATGGAAAAACATTCCATGCTCATGGATAGGAAGAATCAATATCATGAAAATGCCATACTGCACAAAGGAATTTATAGATTGAAGGCTATTCCCATCAAGCTACTACTGACAATATGAAAAAACTACATTAAATTTCATATGGAACCAAAAAGAAGCCCATACAGCCAAGACAATACTAAGCAAAAAGAACAGAGCTGGAGGCATCATGCTACCTGACTTCAAACTATACTACAAGCCTGCAGTAAACAAAACAGCATGGTACTGGTACCAAAACAGATATATAGATTAATTGAACATAACAGACACCTCAGAAATAACATCACACATCTACAACCATCTGATCCTCAATAAACCTGACAAAAACAAGTAATGGGGAAAGAATTCCCCATTAAATAATGGTGCTGAAATAACTGGCTAGCCATATGCAGAAAATAGAAACTGGACACATTCCTTACACCTTATACAAAAATTAAGATGGATTAAAGACTTAAATATAAAACCCGAAACCATAAAAATCCTGGAAGAAAACCTAGGCAATACCATTCAGGACACATGCATGGGCAAAGACTTCATGACTAAAACCCCAAAACTAATTTCAACAAAAGCCAAAATTGACAAATGGAATCTAATTAAACTATGGAGCTTCTGCATAGCAAAGAAACTATCATCAGAGTGAACAGGCAACCTACAGAACGGGAGAAAATTTTTGCAATCTAACCATCTGACAAAGGTCTAATATCCAGAATTTACAAGGAACTTACACAAATTTACAAGAAAAAAAAAAACAAACACCACCATCAAAAAGTGAGTGCTGGGTATGAGCAGACACTTCTCAAAAGAAGACATTCGTGTGGCCAACATATGAAGAAAAACAATGATGTTGCCACAAAGAGTGTTTTGTCAGTCTTATGATCTCCAGTTCAATGTTAATGCTGGTCAGTAGTGCCTAATCTTCAAAATGATGGGGTGTAATGAGGCATGTCTGACCTCTCTTTCTGTCATTGTTGGTCAGTTTCTCAGGTTTCTCTAGGGTCCCCTTGACCAAGAGGTGGTCTGTTCAGTGGGTTGGGGGACTTAGGATTTTATCCTTGGTTTATATGAATGAAATAGAAAAATCTATGGCTAGGTAGTACAAGTAAAAAAAAAAGAGAGAGAGAGAGAACAAAAATTACTAAATTTATCATGAACAAGGGGACATCACTATCTACTAATCTTACAGAATTTTTTAACAAATTACAAGAAAAACCATAAAATATTTTAGGCCAACTAATTAGACAATTTATATGAAACAAATTCCTAGAAAGACAAAAATACTGAAACTGACTTAAGAAGAAATAGAAAATCTCAATAGAAGTATTACAAGTAAAAATAATAAATTAGTAATAAAAATACCCCCACAATAAAAAGCCCAGGCCTGCTGAATTCTATCAAATGTTTAAAGAAGAAAAACAACAATACTTCACAGTTTCTCCCAGGAAATGGAGAAAACAGGGAAAGTCCTCAGTCTGATAACAAAGCCAAATCAACATCACAAGGAAAAAAATATAGACCAATTAGAATTTATCCCAGAATTTTGCAAAACAACATACAACTTCAACATTGTAAAGTTGATGACATTCTCAAATTGATCTACAGATTCAAAGCAATTCCTATCAAAATTCCAGCTGGTTTTTTAAAAAGAAACTGATGACATGACCCTAAAACTTACATGAAAATGCGAAGACTCAGGATAGCCAAAATAATATTGAAAAAGAGCAAATGTGATGGACTTAAATGTTCCAATTAAAACCTTCCTATAAAGCTACAATATTCAAGATGATTTGGTGCTGGCATGAAGATAGACATAGAGAAAAAAATTGACTAGAATTAAGAGTCCCAAAATAAACCCAAACATTAACGGTCAATTAATTTTCAACAAAGATATTGAAGCAGCCTTATTGAATGGGGTGACACCTCACGTTCTTGGTCTCACGGCCACAGCAATCAAGGATGCAGACACATACAAAAGGTGAGATTTAGAGCAGAATTGTAATAGGAGAAAGAAATTTGCCTGCCACAGAGAGGGTTCCCAGAAAAATGGATTGCCAATGTGCAGTGACATGCAAGGGTTTTTATAGATGAGCTAGTTGGGAGGCAGTACCTGATCGACATAGGATCTGAAAAGCCCATTAGGACCATATGTGCCATCTGCAAAGGGTGCAAATCTCTGGCAGCCCTAACCCCAATCTTTTATTATGCAGTTGGGTCCTCTGCCTGAGCTACTCCATGTTACCTATTTCTTTCTTACTCTGCACATTCTAACAAAAAAGGGAAGGTGGAGACCCCATGGTGGACATGCCTGTCCCCAGATAGCCCTTTCTATAGGTACAGCTGCTGGCATCCCCCGTGCAAGCTTCCAGCTTCCTTATGTATGTTTGCAGCACGATCTTCCAGGCTTCCCTTTGTTAGAAAAGAAGTGTTTTCTGGCCAGGCGCGATGGCTCACGCCTGTAATCCCAGCACTTTGGGAGACTGAGGTGGTTGGATCATGAGGTCAGGAGTTCAAGACCAGCCTGGCCAAGATGGTGAAACCCCGTCTCTACTAAAAAACTACAAAAATTAGCCAGGCATGGTGGCAGGTGCCTGTAATCCCAGCTACTTGGGAGGCTGAGGCAGAATAATTGCTTGAACCCGGACAGCGGTTGCAGTGAGCCGAGATTGCGCCACTGCACTCCAGCCTGGGCGACAGAGAGAGACTCTGTCTCAAAAAAACAAAAAAAGGAAGAAAGAAAGAAAGAAAAGAAGTGATTTCTTGGGCTGCTTTTTGTTGGAAAAGAAGTTCTGCTGAGGACACTCTTTTGCCTTATTTGCCTAAATAATTTGTTTCTATCTCCTGTATCAATATCAAGGCAATTCAATGAAAACAGGACTGTCTTCAGTAAATGGTGCTAGAATAATTTCATAACCACAATGCAAAAATATAAATTTAGACCCTTACTTAATACCATACACAAAAAATTGATTAAGAATGAATCACAGACCTGAATGTTAGAGTTAAAACAATAAAACTCAGCCAAGACCAGTGGCTCACACCTGTAATCCCAGCACTTTGGGAGGCCGAGGCAGGCAGCACGAGGTCAGGAGATTGAGACCATCCTGGCTAACATGGTGAAACCCCGTCTCTACTAAAAATACAAAAAAAAAAAAATTTAGCCAGGCGTGGTGGCAGGCACCTGTAGTCCCTGCTACTTGGGAGGCTGAGGCAGGAGAACGGTGTGAACCCAGGAGGCAGAGCTCTACAGTGAGCCAAGATCGCGCCACTGCACACCAGCCTGGGCAACAGAGCGAGACTCCAGCTCAAAAAAAAAAAAGAAAAACAATAAAACTCTTAGAAGAAAACATAAGAGCAAATATTTCTGATAATGGGTTAGACAAAAATTTCTTAGGTATGTCATCAGAAGCATAAGTGATTAAAAATTGATGAATTGATCAAAATTTAAAACTTTTCCATTCTAAAGATATCATTAACCATGAGAAAAGGCAAGCCAAAGACTGGGACAAAATAGTTGTACGTTATATATGTAATAAAGGACTTCTATCTAGGATGCATAAAGAACATTTATAAATCCATAAGAAGACAAATAGCCCAATTTTTTAAAGGACAAAAAAGCTGTACACAATTTTTTTAATAGCAGTTTATTCATAACATCTGAAACGTGAGAACACCACATGCCTTTCAGTGGGTGAATAGCTAAACAAACTGGTAAATCTATACTGTGGAGTATTACACAGCAATACAAATAACCACTGATACACACAATAACCTGGGTGATTCTCGGTATAAGTATGTTGAGAGAAAAAAATCTAAGCCCCCAAAATTACATATAGTATGACACAGTTTACATAATGTAAGGAGTAGTATAAGAAGTATCATGAAAATATAACAGGAGAGATCTTTATGGTGATGTAATTATTCTGTATCTTGACTGTAGTGATGGTCATAAGAACCTATACCTCTGATAAAATTGCACAGAACTAAATGGACACACAGAGACACAAATGAGTATATCTATGATGGAAAATCTGAATAAAACAGACGGATTGTATCAATGTCAATTTTGTGGTTGTTAAATCTGCATAATAATAGTTATGCAAGATGTTGCTATTGGGGGATAGTAAGTAAAGTGTAAACAGGATCTCTCTGTATTATTTTTTACATCTACACATGAATCTACAAGTATCTCAAAAAGAGCTTTATTTTAAAATGGGGCTAAAGATTTGGGTAGACATTTCATCAAAGAGGCTATACAAACAGAAAACAGGTACATGAAAAGATGTTCATCGCTAATCATTAGGGAAATGCAAAGTAAAACCATGATGCACACCCATAAGAATAGTTATAATAAAAAAAGACAATAACAAGTGTTGGAGAGGATGTGGAAAAAGTGGAGCTCTCCTGCATTGCTTGTGGGAATGTAAATTGATGAAGTCACTTTGGAAAAACAGCTTGGCAGTGTCTTAATAAGTTCAACATCATCTTAGCATATGACTCGGGAATTCCACTCATAGGTTATCTATACAAGAGAAATTAAAACCTATGTTCAAACAGAAGTATGTGTGCAAATGTTTATAGCAGCATTTTCATAACATCCAAAATGTGGCAGCAACCCATATGTCATCAACTGGTAAGCAGATAAACAAAATACGATTTACCCCAACAATGGAATGTTATTCATCAATTAAAAGGAATAAAGTACTGATAGATGAAACAACATTGACGAACCACAAAAACATATGCTAAGAAGCTAGACACAAAGACCACTTAGTGTATGATCCCATTTATTTAAATGTCCATTAAACAAATCTGTAGAAAAGAAAGTAGATTAATGCTTACCAAGTGTTGGGGATGAATGGGGAATGGCTGAAAAATGGGACAGAGCTTTCTTTTGGGGATGATGTAAATATTTTAAACTAGTTTGTAGTGACAGTTGCACAACTCTGTAACTAAAACCAATGAATTTAATGCTTTGATAAATAAATAAAATAAAGCTGTCTTTAAAAGGTTACAATTCTTTTCAGCTGTTAAGGTTGAAACCTCTTAGATGGTTAATGATCTCATGCCTCAGTTCCCTATTAATTATATGGGAGAAATACCCCCATACCCTGCTTAGCAAGTTAGGCATAATGTTACACAACCTGCTTTCTTCTCCATCTACTCCTCGATTTACTATTCTTAATACTAAGGTATCATTCAGAAACCATGGTATTTCTCGTGTTTACTGACAATGGATAAACAAAACATATTTTTCTTCAGCTTGCTTAATTCCAAATTCTCCTATAGTTAAGCAAAACAAATGACCTTTGGTATCACATATGACTTTTAATCACAATATATAAGCCAGAAAACAGATGGACAGATTTGACTATCTTGTGCGTTTAGCCAAGTATAGCACTTCCCTGAACTGTTTGGTCCTTTTGACATCTGACTAAATACGAGGGGCCTCTTTCTATTTTAACAGATTTTCCCCATCCCTTTCCTTCCTTCTCATTCTCCATGGCCATAATTTCTCCACTTTTACCATAGTTCCAATATCTTACTTGCACTTATTACAGAGTCCACCCCCTACTCCTTTCCCTTTCTGTCCTTCAAATAGCCTTTCCTAGCCTAATCTTGAGTGTGAGGAGAAACTATCATTTAAGCAGTAGTCGGTGAAATACTTTTCCCTCTATACACAGACTTAGTGGACCTTCGTGGATAAGATATTTGGAAAAATTTTAAATGTCGTTTACAGTTTTTTTTGTTTTGTTTGTTTGTTTGTTTTTATTTCTTGAAAGAAAAGAACTGTTGCAGAGTATTAATTTTCATCTTAACTCTGACACATTTATTAACATCCAAAAAAAGCAAAGATATATGATATATGTCTTGCCAGAAGGCTACTACAAAATATTTTAAGGTTCCATCTTCTATAATTCCTGGCTAGTAGATACAGTCATCTAAACGACAAGAAGTTGTAATTTGTTGCTTATTGATAGTGTTATGACTTATTTTTAAAGTTCCCTAAATAATCCAACTTTTGAATAAAAATGGGCTTTTCATTTTAATAACACATACTCCTTGATGATAATGGTTTGATTCATTTCTCTTACAGAACTAATTTCTTCCTACTTCACACACATTAAATACTTTGTTTATACTGATAATGTCATGCTCATCCTAAATTAAAGTTTGACTATGTCTGTTTCCCCAGAGACACACCATCTGATTGGGATACAGCCGTAGTGTAGCAGAAAGAGCAGTGAAGCTGGTATTAGAATGCTTGGATTACAGTGTTTGTTCTGTTACTTAGCAGCTGTGTGACTTTACTGTCTTAATGATATGGATTTTTGTGCTACTGCCAAGTATGAAACAGTTTGGCACACTATTTAGAAACGAAAAATATGTGATCTCCACATTTTAGCGAGTATAAAGAAGATAGGATAGACTATTTAAAATGGAAAATTTTGGACAAAAGGTCACCATATACCTGAATAAATTACTTAACTTCTGAAACCCACTTTAGTCATGTAATAAAATAGATATAATGATACCTACCTCTCAGGATTAAGGGTTAACTGAAATATTGTACGTGAGGGTCTAGCTCAGTGCCTGGAAAATGGATGATGTTAATTAAGGTTTCCTTAGGTTAGAATGCTCCTTTCACTCCCTCCATCTGCCCCCCTCCCCCAAAAAACACTCCAAAATTCAAACATGCATATTCTGATTCACGTTTTAGGAAGAGCCCAAGAGGCACCACTCTACAAAATCTTTCCAAATAACTTCAGGCAGTACAGCCCTTTGGTTAAGAGTACTGGGCTTTTGGAATCAGAAGAGACCACCAAATTTAAAATCACGTCTGCCATTTAGTAGCTCCCTGACACTGGACAAATTACTTATTTTCTCCGCAGCTAGATTTCCCATCTGTAAAATAAAATCATCATGATACATACCCGATAGGGTTGCGGAGGATTAAATGAGATATACATACAGAGCACTTAACACAGTCCCTGACTTAAGTCCTCCGTTAAGTATTACATAGAAGTAGTAAAAAGTTTCCTCGTAAGTAAAATGCTAATAAAAGTGCTTACCCTGCCTCCCAAGATTGTGACAAAGTTATGACGCAAGGCTTTTAAACTGCAATGTTGAACAAATGTAAGGGATTGGTATATACCTTGAGATATTTTGGATAAAGTTCTAATCTTACTTTTATACAATACGCTTTCCCTCACCCGCCTGCAGTGGGGTTAATAATGCCCAGCATTAACTAATAGGAAATCAAATCAGAAGATACCCAGAACACAAGTAGCTGACGCTCAGAGAGCAGTATTAAGGCGAGCACCCGCAGACCGGACCTGGATGATTCCTTGGAGTTCACCTCTAGCGGCCCCCTCCCCTTGGAGCCGCGCAAGCGTACACTGACTTTGCTCCTCTCTAGTGCCCCCGCCTCCAACAGCCGCCCCCCCGCACCCCCCCCCGTCTGCCCAACACGCAGGCGCGTCTCCTCAAATCCTGTCCCTACACCCCTCCTCTTTCTCTTCATTTCGTTCCCCCTCCTCTTGCAGCACCTCAGCAGGTTCAAACTCCTCTCCGGGAGAGTGGCGGCGATCGCGAGGTCACGTGATGAGCATCCTGCTGCCCAACATGGCGGAGTTCGACACCATCTCTGAACTGGAGGAGGAGGAAGAAGAAGCGGCAACGTCGTCGTCGTCGCCGTCGTCGTCGTCGTCTGTATCTGGGCCCGACGATGACGAGGAGGATGAGGAGGAAGAGGGGGAGGAGGAGGAGGAGGAGGAAGAAGAGGAGGAGGAGGAAGAGGAGGAGGAGGCGCCGCCCCCGCCTCGGGTAGTGAGCGAGGAGCATCTGCGGAGATATGCTCCCGACCCTGTATTAGTGCGGGGTGCCGGCCACATCACTGTGTAAGCGAGAGGGGGTCTTGGGACTTGAAAAGCCTGAGATTTGGCAACAGAGGAATGGGAAGTGATCGAGGGGCCTGTGGAGTGGGGGAGGGTTTACTGAGGCGTACAGTTAGGAAAGGACACCAGGTCTAAATGGGGAAACCATGGGTGGATACGTGTGAAGGAAGTGAGGTGAATGTAAATATGATGCACCAATGCCAGGTAAAGAGTGAGTATAGGAGAGGGAAGTTAGGGGTTTGGGAGCCAGAGCGATTGGAGTAGGGGTGAGTCTCCTTTCTTGTACGTATGCTGGCAAGTGAACAGTCTCTAAACTGCAGGATGTACCAGAGCGTTTTTTTGCTCACAAGATTGATACTTTGTGGGAAACAGCAATTGCTGTGACATGTGACAAGAACTAGGCTTGCATTCTTCAAAACAGAAACATGATACATTTTGTGAATAATAATAGAATGTTCATTCACCCGCATATTCATCCATCCATTCTTCCTATCTAATCCTTCCTTGTATATCACTCGATTAGAGGTTCAGGTTGAGAGGCAGCTATGGAAAGTAGAAAGAGAAACGGATTGAGTCAGGGCTCTTAGATGCTAGTCCTGGTTTTGCTTCTTACTGGCCCTGTGACCTTGGTCAGGTTGCTTTTTCTGATTTCTGCGCCTTGATTTCTTCATCTCTAAAATGAAGAGTTTGGAGTAGATGGTTTCCAAAGCTTTTCAGTTCCGAGATAATTTACCTCCAAGGGATTTTGTATGCCCAAATATGAAATATACAGGCATTAAATATATATGGAAATTAGTACTTTGGGAGCTGAGCATGATTTCTTTAAAATTTATCCAGGGTGGTTTTTTAAAAAATTGAAATCTTGAGAAAAAATTGAATATTTGAGAAAATAAAATGGGGAGGGACTTCATAACATAGCTACAGGGCAAAGATGTTGATGATTCTCTGGGCTTTAAAGAGTGCTTCCTCATTTTTATTTGCTTGGACCGTAACTGTTTGGAAGTTTGAGTACTGTGTCATGTTCACCCTCTGAACTATGCTATCTTTTACTGCATTTTCAAAACAGGTTCCTTTTTGTTATTATGTCATTCTGCCTCTGGTTTTGATGATGGCTCACCTAGTCCCTTTGACTTTCAATTGAGCTCATGTTATATTAAATCATGTATGTACTACCTCCCTTATATTAGTTTGAATTTTTAACATGTTGAGTTGTTGTTGTTGTTGTTGTTGTTTTTTGAGATGGAGTCTCGCTCTGTCGCCCAGGCTGGAGTGCAATGGCATGATCTTGGCTCACTGCAGCCTCTATTTCCCAGGTTCAAGCAATTCTCCTGCCTCAGCCTCCCGAGTAGCTGGGACTACAGGCATGACATGTTGTGTATTTTAATTGTAATATACTTTTGTAATCTTTGCATCAAATATATTAACAAATATTTTGAAATTGGGGAAGGGTCGGGGGAAGGTTTTAGAGCTACTTTTTGATTAGGAAATTTTAAGACAATTTTTCTTGGTCCAAGAATTTTGCAGATAGCCTGAAATGTTTAGATGCCAGCTTATTGCACGGTTTTACTTCCATTCCTTTTGTCACTAGGGAGACAATTTATTACTCGAACTAATTATGATGGCTGGTACCAAAGGTTACTTTTATGCAGATTATGTTACATGTCCCTTTAGTCCATGATTTTATACTCCAACATTCCACCTCCACATTTGCAAAATTTATGCAAAGGAGAAGGAACAAGAAAATAAAATTAAAGTTACCTGAAATTTATTTGTGGTTCCATTCGACCCTGCGCAGGTACTTTCCAGCCTATTTTCTTCATTAGAAGAACACTGACACTTGCCATGCCCAGGCCCTTGTGATGGGTATACTATTCTTCTAATTAGAAGCATGTGGGTAGTACTGGTGGTATTCATTGACTGAAACCAAAACCTGAAAAGCAGCAAACCAGTACTAGACTCACTAACCAATGTATATACTTTGGAAACTTATTTAGTTTTATTGTATACATTCTTACACCTAGAAATCAGATATGACATTAAATGTCTTGGTATTTGAAAGAGATTACATGTCTAGGAGAAAATTTAACTGGATCTGAGAAATGGGTCTTTGTATGGTGGTGAAGCCTTCCCTTTATCAAGTAAAGTAAAATCCTTATGAAATAGGTAATCTTATTCTGAGACTTCTAAAATCTTATTCTGATACTTCTAAAATATCAACTTCTGTTTATTTTTTTTCTGGCATAGGAGTGTTAGAGTTGCCTTAAACTATATACCCTATCTGAATGAAATATTTAATATTATCTCCCAGCCCTGATTTTTTTTCCATTCTTTGTGCTGTCTTCTATTGTATAGAGCATTTTGTTTCTTCTCAAAGTTTAAAATTTGAGAGCCATCACCTCAAAGTCAGTATATTTTAAGCCCAACATCCCTCTCCACATTGCCCGTGCTTTCCATTTGTTTCATTTCTTTCCTTGATGCCACCGTTCTGATCTCCCAGGTAACATTCAAAACCTTTGAGTCATTTTGACTCTTCCTTCTCCTTGAATTGCCCTGTGTCAGTCTGCCCCAGGATTATGTCATCATAGTTTCTGAAATATCTCTTAGATTTTTCATTTTCTCATTCCTATTTGGCACCACTCTGGTTTGGGTTGCTATCATCTCCTGCTTGAATTATTGCCACAGTCTGCTGCCTCTCCCTACTCCAGTCCATCCTGTGTGCTTGTGCCAAACTAATTTTCTTAAAACACAGTTTAGTCATGTCACTTTCCTGCTGAAAACCTGCATTGGATCTTAATTAGCTCTGAGTTTCTGTGCCATCTTCCTTCAGTCTCAGAGTTCAAGGAGACCCTCCATGTGTCCAATGCTCACCTGTCCATTTATGCCTTCCATACCTTTCTCTTCCTGCCTCCTCCCAGATCTTGCTCCACCAGGCCACCTATCTCTCCAATATTACCTCTCTACTGGCTCAACCTGTAACCATATTCAGTCTCTAGTTTTTAAAAAACAAAATAAGACAAAAGCCTTCCTATGCCCGTGTTCCCTTTAGCTACTATCCAATCTCTCTTTCTTATCCTTCAAATTTCTAAAAAAAAAGTAGCTACATTTACCTTATCTGTTTTATATTTACCCCTCTCTGATCTTGATTCTGCTACCAAAACCACAGAGGAGCTATCCTTAATTAACATCACTGTGACCCTCTTGTTGCTAAATTAGTGGACATCTTTCATTCCCTATCCTTCAGGTTCTCTCTGATACATTTGATACTTAAAATGATTTCTTCTTTTTTAGAAGCTTCTACTCCAAGGTTCACAAACCACAGGCCTTCAGAGGCAAGGCAGGTCACAGAAAATAGTGCAGCATAAGGAGAGATGGGGCTTTAGTTGAACTGAAAGTTATGTATCTCATCTAATGGTATTCAAATTCTAATTTAAGAAAAAACATTTTGCCAGCCAAAATAAATCACAGAACTCCTTGGCCACTTCACTCTCCTGGTGTTCCTTTTACTTTTCTGGCAGTTTCTTACCTGTTCATTCATGGGCTTCTCTTCCTTCTTGACCTTTAAATACCAGCAATCTCTAGAGTTTTGTTCTCAGCCCACTACTCTTCTTCTTCCCTACTCTCCCTAGATGGTCTCATCTTACCTCTCATAGATTCAGTTATCTCATGGCTCCCAAATAGGGATTTCTTTACCAGACTCTGCTTGGGCTCTTATCTGGGCTTCTTCACTCGGTAGCTTACTGTTATCTTAAATTTGACATAAACAAAAATCTCCCAACACCCCCCTCATATCCCCACCCCCAAATGCTCAAAATAGCTTTCTGAGTTCTGTATTCACATCCTCAGTTGAAGGTACCTCCACCTATCCCATTAAAGCATGCTTAGTTCTCCCCACTCACACTTGCCACTGCTAAGCAATTAGCAAATATCAACAATACATGGCTTAAGAATTTCTTTTTCTCCCTACCACCACTTTATTGATTCAGGACCCTTTCACTACCCTAGCTAGTCATCTTGCCTTCAACCTTGTCATCCTCACATCCATCCTCCAGCCTGCTGCTAGATTAAGACACAAAAAATACAGATCTAATCAAACCATTTTTCCTGCTTAAGATTATCTTGTGGTTTTTCCCTTCATGTGAGAATCTAAGCTCCATAACAGAGCATACAGAAATGGACTCTGTGTATCTGTCAGCCTAAACTTTTGCCATTTCCCTTACTGCTTGTATGTTCCTGTTCACAGCGTGCTGTTTTTTTTTTTTTTATCTCACTGCCTCTGCTCAATCTGGGGCCTCCACCTAGAATGCTAACATTCACCTCCCATTTACCTGGCTCCCATTTCCCTGGCTCTCTATATGTCACCACTTTCTGCAAGTCTTCTTTTTTTCCACTAAATTGTAAATTGCAATGACAAGAACAATTTCTGATTCCCTCTGAATCCTCAGTGCATACCACAGTACCTGATAAGAGGTGAGTTGAATGAATATTGGTTCACTTTAGTAAC